CCTGCTACCTCCCCCACCTCTGCTACCTCCCCCCTGTTACCCACCTACTGTTGATTCTCTGGCTCAGCGTCGCCAGATTTTCTCTCTCACGGAGAACTGAATGTCCTCTTGGAATTTTCTGAAGGATTTTAAGTGGAATTTTACTGCCTGTGAGGCGGCGATCTGAGGAGAAATGAACATGAAGTCAAAGTTTCATCCATCTCTCACGCTTACCAGCCTTGAGTAAAAGTTGGAAAGGTTTACTTATTCTTTACGCTTTCCAAGTGATCAGACGACCTGGAGAGTGTCTGAGTTTGGACCAAGAGAGATCAAAGTGTCTCTGTATTGTCCTCCACTGTCTGATAGTAAGAGAATGACCATGAAATACGGTCTTTATATCTTTTCGTGTGTCTGCCTGAGGGACTGTGCAGCCTTGCGTCTATCTGTGTGTCCATTCTTCTGACTTGTGCACACTGTATCATAAAGACACATTGAGCTACATTTTCATTGTTTGGCAAAATCATACCTTTAGTAAGCCTCTCTCTCTATTCCAACGAGTGACGACCACTTCAGTTATCCCAGCTTTCGTCCGACACTGTCCTTGTGATAACTCAGGCAAACATAAACGAATTTAGATGAAATTTCGTAAGTGGACACAACCTAACAAGATCTCGGGTTGCTTCAGTAAACATTAATTTCCATCATTGGTTTTCGTAGTTATGATCCCTTGAACCTCTATTTGTCGTAGGTGAGGTCGTCTGTAGTTGGAGAAAATACATTTACTTTGATATATTAATTCTTATCTTATTTTCTCACGATCTGTGTTTTATCTGAGGACATTTATTCATATATAATGAAGGAATGTTTACAAATATAGGAACAACAAGACGAGATACAGACACATAATTAGTATATACATTTGATTCTCCTATCCTAACTTTACCCTGGAGACATAAAAGAGTGCGTGGGACCCTGTAGGACCTTGTATGACCTTGTGGGACCTCGTGGGACCTTGTGGGACCTCGTGGGACCTTGTGGGACCGTGTGGGATCTCGAATACTCTGGGAACATCAAGGCGTTAGAACAATGAATAATAGTTTATCATTAAGGTAACTTCCAGGTCATTATTCACTAATTAACATGGCTCACCTGTTTACGAGGCCAGGTAAATGATAATATGGCCGTAGGAGGGAGATTGTGAGGTACTGAGGGAGGGAGGGAAGGAGGAAGGGAGAAGGAAGCGTGAGAGATAATGGTGGATAGAGGCAGGAAAGAAGGAGAGTGTCTAATAGGGAAGAAGAATTAGGAGAAGGAGAATCATCAGAGTTAGAGGGAAAAAGGGAGATGGCTATTTCGGAGAGAAAAAAATCTATCAGGGAAAAAGGGAGAAGCATGTAGGGAAAAAATAGATTGCCAAGGGTAGTGGAAGGGAAACTTTCTGATTTACTGGGGAGATAAGAGAGGAGGAAGATACGAAGATGTGGGTGAGGGGAGGAAAAAGGGAGAGGTGAGGCGAGGGAAAAAAATGAGGTTACTAGGAGGAAAAGAACGTGCTGGGTGATCTGGGAAGGAGGGTTCTGATTTAGTTAGTGGAGGGAGGGAGACAGGGAGAGTATAAGTTACTTGAGGAGAGAAGCAGGGAGGAGGCGAGAGTGTGTGACGTCGGTACTGATACAGGGAGAACAGGAAGAAGATGATAAAAAAATGGAAAAAAATAGAGAAGTGAGTTTTATGGAGAATCGACAAGGCTGAGGAATAAAAAGGAAATTGGATTTAGAAAAGAAGAAGAAAAAAAAACGAGGGATTTTGAAGGATTTAACCCAAACTTTTCAATGAAGGTCTTAAGTGTCCAGGTCTTAGTCCGACCGAAGTAGTGAGGTACTCGTGAAAGTCTTCCCCAATGATGTAGTGCCAAGTCTTAGTAAAGGCGAGAGGAAAGTCGTATTACTCTGATCGAGGTTCCTGTGTCTGAATGAATGTCTATTTGATTTAAACCCTAAAAAAATAAATTGGTTTTATATCCTAAGTTTCCTACACTCACCACCATCACCACTATCAACACGACCCTCCTACACTCACCACCATCACCACTATCAACACGACCTTCCTACTCTCACCACCACCACTACCACCACGACCCTCCTACACTCACCACCACCACCATCAACCACGACCATCCTACACTCACCACCACTACCACCATGACCATCCTACACTCACCACCACCACCATCAACACGACCATCCTACACTCACCACCACCACTACCACCATGACCATCCTACACCACCACCACTACCATCAACACGACCATCCTACACTCACCACCACCACCATCAACACGACCCTCCTACACTCACCACCACTACCACCACGACCTCCTACACTCACCACCACCACCATCAACACGACCATCCTACACTCACCACCACCACCATCAACACGACCATCCTACACACCACCACCACCATCAACACGACCATCCTACACTCACCACCACCACCATCAACACGACCCTCCCACACTCACCACCACTACCACCACGACCCTCCTACACTCACCACCACTACCACCACGACGACCTTCCTACACTCACCACCACCACCACCACGACGACCTTCCACACTGACCACCACCACCACCACGACGACCTTCCTACACTGACCACCACCACCACCACGACGACCCTACCACCACCACCACTACCACCACGACCTTCCTACACCACCACCACTACGTCCCCTCATCACCACACCACCACCACCACCACCACCACCACCACCACCACCACCACCACCACGACACGACCTTCCTACACTCACCACCCTCACCACCACCACCACTCACCACCACACACTACCACCACCACCACCATTACATACACTGAGGAGTAAAGAATCGTCTGGATTTGACAGGTGGATGACCATAGTGTCAGCCAACCATAGTGTCACCTGACCATAGTGTCAGACCATAGTGTCAGCCATAGTGTCAGCCAACCATAGTGTCAGCCAACCATAGTGTCAGTCGACCATAGTGTCAGCAGACCATAGTGTCAACCATAGTGTCAGCCAACCATAGTGTCAGCCAACCATAGTGTCAGCCGACCATAGTGTCAGCCAACCATAGTGTCAGCCGACCATAGTGTCAACCGACCATAGTGTCAGCCAACCATAGTGTCAGCCGACCATAGTGTCAGCCAAACATCACACTGTTAATATATTATGCTGCTGGGCTTCAGTACACAGTAGGTAATGTTTCTTTGGGTGAGTGTTGCCCCCTGAGTGAGTTATGGCCTGAGGGAGAGAAGCTCCGATATCTTAGAGGCGCAGATGATAGTGGCGTTGTTGTGGTGGTATTGTGGTGATGTTATGGTGGTTGTGGTGTTGTAGTGTAGTTGTGGTGGTAGTAAAGGTGTTGCAGTGGTGATAGTGTTGTGATGGTTGTGATGTTGGTGATGTTGTGATGGAGGTGGTGTGGTGGTGGTGGTGGTAGTGTGGTGGTGGTAATGTGGTGGTGATGGGGGTATTGTGGTGGTGATGGGGGTATTATGGTGTTGTTGTTGTGGTGGTGGTGGTAATGGTTGTGGTGGACTTGTGGTGTAGATGGTGCAGGTGTTGTGGTGGAAGTGTTCTAGTAGTGGTGGTAGGAGAGGAAGGTGTTATAGTGGTGGTAATGATAAAAAAAAAAGACGAAATAAAAAAATAAGGGAAAAAAAACGAAATTCCTGTATATCAATAAAACATCAACTTAGTAAACAAGAGAGAACTGAACAAAAGACCAGACATAATTCGTTCCAAGAAAAGGGAAAATTTTATACGTGTTGCGACATATGTTCCTTTAAATATCTTATGAATTTTTCCAGGTAGTGTAGTAGTGAAGGTGTTATTGTTTTACAGGTAGATGGATAAACGACACAAGTAGCTCTGAATTATAGGTGTATGTAATTTAATCCTGTATAGTGAGGGAGGAAAAATATAAACAAGCAAATATATAGAACTTAGGAATTGTAAGGACTTTTTTCTGAGTTTTTTTTTGTGTTTGTTTCGTGTTTATGTGTCTTTTTTGTGTTATAATTTGTTTGTTTTTGTTTTCTTTTTTTTTATGTTTCTGTCACGTTTTTTCTTTTTCTCTCTTTTCATTATTTCTTTTAGTCTTGTTATTTCTTTCTATCTGTCTACTGTTTCTTATTTCTCTATCAATCTGACTTTCTCCCTGTCTCCCTCTCTCACTGTCTCCATTTATTCTTGTCTCCTTCTTATCTCTCTCTCTCTCTCTCTCTCTCTCTCTCTCTCTCTCTCTCTCTCTCTCTCTCTCTCTCTCTCTCTCTCTCTCATTTCTCTTTTCTCTCTATCTTTTCCCAACCCACATCACCATGAACCAACAACATATATAAAAAAAAATAATCCACTAACCTGTTCGTTTTGTCTTGCCTTTCCACAAATTACCTTTTTTGATGGAGTTAATTAATAGCATATCATTAGGTCAACATGTTACCTGGTATTTTAGCTCTTGGAAACATATATACTTCTTAGACTCTGTTGTTTTGTTGCGATCCTCTTAAGACTGTAGATGATGATACGAAATCGGTTTATAGGTTTAGTTCATTGCAGTGGTTGATTTGATATGGTGTTATGTAGTTGATAATATCCGGGTTGTTGTGCTCTCTCTTGTAAACAATACTTTAAAATAATCGTGGGTTATTTATTGATAATTCTGTTTTTGATGTAATATTGTTGTGAATGAGGGAGTGTTGTAGTGTAGATGTTGTGTGTTGGTGTGTGTGTGTTGTAATTAATATCGTCAGAATGTTGTTTCTATCTTGTGTTAGAACAGAAGTGTTAGTTAATAGTGTTATTAATGTTTATATGACACTCAGAAGTACTGGACGTAGCTTAATGACCTTGACCTGAAACACAACACACCGGTATAATTGTTCTTAATAGTGTGTCATTATGGTAGTTGTGTCTTTGATCTTTTGTGTTATGTGTTTAGTAACTAGACGTTATTGACCAAGTGTGCAGGATGGTGACTAGTGTGTTTTCCCCGCAGACGGTGCTGAAGGCGTGGTCCCGGGCGCTACACGTGGCCACTGAGGGCGTCACCTTCCTCAGGTCTGCCATTGTGGTACTTCCTGCCCACTGGTCCACCCGTGCCTGCCACCCGCCCATCTCTGAAGACCCGCCGCCCACGTCTACCCAGACTCCTCACTTGCAGGTAGCCTCTCCCCACCCGGTGTTCGGGGACTCGCCCTGGACGCAGCAGAGTGGAGGGTGCGGCCAGCAGGGCGACTTTATACAGTTTGGGGTTGGCTTCCTGGAGGCGGCCAACACCTCGGCCGACCATGCCACCCGCGCCGCCAGTGTCCTGGTGGGGGAGTGGGCCAAGTACCGGTGGGGGCTGTTCTCTGAGGCAGGGTACCCGGGGGACCAACTCTACCTGCCTTGGTATCGGCAGGGGCCTCGTTGGGCCGCCACTGTATGTACTGACGCCCGCGCCGGCCCGCCCGCCTGCCACCCAGACCACGCCCACCACTGTGCTTGGCCGCCCGAGGCTCACAGGAACGCCACCTCCTCACTCCTCGCTCTCCCACACCTCCTACAGGTGAGTCACCTTAATCACTGTTGTGTATATAACTTAATGATTCATCACTTCATCTAAAATATATTATGCACCAGTTGTCTTATTTTTCTCCCTTGCATCTAATACACACTAAGAGACATATTTGTCACCAGAACTTATCGTATGACGTGAAGCGAACATTACCTTGAGATAATGTATTTCCTTTCGACGCTAAAAATATTATTATACATTATTACTAATAATTTCATTTGGTATAATATCAATCATATTTTACACTTCATATTTACAAACACTTAGCCCCTTTGCACTCCTGTTATTATAATGTAATAAACTACTACACACACACACACACACACACACACACACACACATCCTCTATTTCCGTCACTGTCACTGACAAATCACCAACACTATCGCTTTGCACCACCACTACAACACCACTACACTTCTCACAACCAAAAACAATTGAAACACATTTCCACGAAACATTGAAGAGTGTTTCCCCTTCACTAGCAGGCCAGAGGTACAGTAAGAGGCCGCCTACCTTCTCATATAACCCAGAAAAGCCGACACACTCACCCTTGAACACGTAACACTTGCCTCTGACACTCTTGGATACACAAAACTTGTCCCTACCTACACCCTCTGCGGCACTGAGGTAACGCCCACACACTCTCTTTTCCTAACAATTTGATGAAGAGCAAACTTGTCACTCACCACCTCCTCCTCCTCCTCCTACAGGTGACCAAGTTCTGCGACGCTCACACCCACAACAGAGAGGCGCCCACCAAGCAGAACGCGCTGTGTGGGGGTCGTTCTGCCTGGGAGGTGATGAGAGAACGTCAGGACTTCAGAGAACAGAGGTGAGTAAAATCTTCCTGGGGGTGCGTTTGGTAAAAGTGGATAAAACAGCAGAATATTAAAGACCTTCAGGTGATGGGGAAATAATAGACACTAGTCCTGGGCGTCACTCGCTTGTTGGATGCTGCTCTTGTGAGTGAGAAGCTGTATAGATATTGTGAGTTGTAAATATTGAGTTATAGTGAATCATAAGACAACAGATGAATAGTCTCTTGCTTTTTGACTTCGCATTATATTGTTAGAATTTAAATGAATATAAACCAGAAATAGTGTTGGTAACCATGAAAGAGTCAAAGCCCCGGAAAATTTCATCGACATAATGATGAAAGTGTAGTGACCGCTGTGACACCCACGGCGTAGCTATAATGATGTCAGCCATCAGCAGACTGAGAGCAGTGATGTCATGAAACCTTTATGGGACAAGAGGAGGCAGAAGCTTCGATCTACAGGATGTCTGGGGATGATGATGAGGCTGAGAGGCTCTGTGAGATGCAGATCAATAACAAAGGATGAGAGTAATAATGAGGGGACAAGAGGGAGTTTAATGACTAGGATAAGTGATCTAAATATTACGTAGGAGCTGAAGTATGACTAAGTACTGGAGGAGATCGGTGGTGTAATCAGCGAAACGATTTCTGGGAGTGAAAAACCTGAGCTTGCGAGGTGTTAAGTGAGGTGTGAAGCTCAAGGGACGCTGCTGGTGAGGGCCCACAGGTGCGTCAACTAAACACTTGCACTTCCCAGGATTAGAAGTAATTGATCCCAATCTGCCTGAGAGACTATTAGGCAACTGCAGGACCTGTGAGATCACGGGCTGAGAATCCCAGAGGTGCATCCTGGGAAAAAAACCAAAGTCGAGGTTCCACAACGAGGAGCTGAAAGGATGTACAGGAGGAAACTCTTTGTTGAAGGAAGAAAAAAATCTATTGAAGGATACTCGATCCTTTTTTATGAATGACGGGAGGGGGAGGGGGACAGGTAGGAACACCACAACCCAACAGTGAAATAGGGAGAAAAAATAACTGGAGGAGTGAACGCAGGAGAGAAAAACTAAGAGAAGAGGGGGAGTATGTTGACAGTAGAGACCGTCCAAGAGGTGGAGTAACAAGTGATCTTCTCTGACCTGATGGAAGGAAGTAAATAAGGAGAGATGACTTACTGTCTCTCGAATATCAAAGACTGACAAATTAAATTCATCTGGTGCATGACAGTGTTAGCCAGAGGGTCGACCTGGCCAACAGCCGTCGTGGGACTCTCGACTGTACGGTAGTTGGTGCTTGTCTTTTTATTACCCAGCCATAAAGCAAAGACTTAGAGCCAGAGAGTCGTAACAGCAGACGAAGGTGAGAACTGTGCTGTTACCTTCACACACACACACACACACACACACAGACACACACACACACACACACACACACACACACACACACACACACACACACACACACACACACACACACACACACACACACACACACATTGTTTAAAAGTTTGTGTTGCGCGTCAATAACTGAGAGGAGGCTCGTGCAGACTGGCAGTGCGACGCTCTATTGACCACAAAAACACATTTCCAGTTTTAACACAACATCGCCTGAGACCTCCGGGTGCGTCATGCCCGCTCTCACTATAAAAATAATCAATAACTTGTAATCAACCAGTGTATTCACTCCCAGTCAATCTTACTTTTTGCACTGTCACTATGTTGAAATGCCTTATAGTTTGAGCTTCTCCCCACCTAGTTATTATATATCATATTTGTATCACTTATGTTACTTGTATATTATTTGTAAATCAAGAGACCCATTCCCAATTATGTAACTATATTTTCAGCCTTCCGGTTGCCATGCTCTTTCAGTAAACCGTTAATTATTATTATTATGATTATTATTACACACACACACACACACACACAGACAGACACACACACACACACATAGGGCAGTAATAATGGTAAGAATTAATGAGAGAGAGAGAGAGACGGGTGATGGTCAGCCAGTGAGAGAGGACCTGACCCACCCGGAGGTCTCAGGCGATGTTGTGTTAAAACTGGAAATGTGTTTTTGTGGTCAATAGAGCGTCACACTGCCAGCCTGCACGAGCCTCCTCTCAGTTATTGACGCGCAACACAAACTTTTAAACAACACTTCAAAGTGTCCTTGTATCGAAGGGGGGTATGGGGGGGGGAGGGAGATAGAGAAAGAGGAGAGAGATGAAGGGAAAGGAGAGAGAGAGAGAGAGAGAGAGAGAGAGTTTTGCAATGGGGAGAGAGAACAAGACTTTAGAATACTATAATATATTTGTTGCGTATACTTATACAAACACCAACAAGCACACATACACTTACACAAACATTAAAAACACACACACACTCACAGTAACATCAATACACACACACACACACATACACTTACACAAAAACATCAGACAAAACACATACTCTTACACAAACATCAAAAAATACACGTACACTTACACAAACACTAACAAAAATTCACTTACACAAACACTAACAAAAATTCACTTACACAAACACCAACAACATCACACTAACATCAACAAACCTGGGAGGTGAGAGAACCCGTACTCTTACACAAATGTTTCCTCACGTGAGAGAAAATGGTGAGGTTCTCCTGTTTACTTTATGTAAATTGTTTTGGGTGCGACCTTAATGAGAGAAGCTTAACGTGTCCAAATGTTGTATATCTGTACGTTATGTGTGTGGTCTTAAAATTAGATTGCATGTTTTCTTCTTTTTCATTTTTTTTTTATATGTTTCCTGGCTTTGTTCTCTGTCTGTCTCTTTTATTGTTGTTTATCTTTATTTCTTTCTTTCTTTCTTCTTTCTCTTTTTCTTTATTCTTTCTTTATTTCGTTATTTCTTCCTCTCGTTCGTTCTTTCTTTCTTTCTGTCTTTCTTTTTTCTTTCTTTTTTTCCTTCCTTCCTTCCTTCCTTCCTTCCTTCCTTCCTTCCTTCTTTCCTTCCTTCCTTCCTTCCTTCCTTCCTTCCTTCCTTCCTTCCCCTTCCTTCCTTCCCTTCCTTCCTTCCTTCCTTCCTTCCTTCCTTCCTTCCTTCCTTCCTTCCTTCTTCCTTCCTTTCTTTCTTTCTTTCTTTCTTTCTCTAATAGTTATCATATATACCAAGAAATATTCATGTAATTTCACAAGTACAACTGGGAGACACTCGTGTACATGTACTGTATGTAAATGACACCATTATTATTTACTCTCTGCATTATTTACCAAACGAGGAACCTCTGTAAACACGCACGGTAGTTTGTAAAAGAATTGTATGTCTGTTTGTATGGGAGATTTTTTTATGTTTTTATTTTTTTTATTCCTTGTATAATTATATCGGTGTTTTTCTTCGTTTTATTTGTGTTCGGTAATTCTCAACACACATACAGACACATAGTCGTCACCAACAAAACATCTCTCTCTCTCTCTCTCACCCAGGAAGGAGGGACATGGGGGAGGAGTGTTGGAGGGAAGGATGTATCGGAAGAGGGAGGGAGAGAGGGAGGGAAGGAAGTAAGGATGGAGAGGTTGTCATTCACGCGTTTCATCTCCTCTCAACACTCAGGTAGATTGCCAGGTGCTCTGACCCTTCCAGCTGCTATTAAGTGTTTTATAAGAGACTCATATGACGTACACTGGCTTTCCTCTCACTCACACCTTGATGAACACCGCCCCCCTCTCTCTCTCTCTCTCTCTCTCTCTGTCATCATGGTCGTCGTCACCACAGCTCAGCTTCTTCCCCCCACCGTCTTCCCTCCCCACCAGCTCACCCCCCTACCCCCCACAGCTCCCTCCCCCTCCCCACCAGCTCACCCCTCTCCCACCAGCTCACCCCCCTCTCCCACCAGCTCACCCTTCCCCCCACCAGCTCACCTCCCCTGGCTCACCCCCCCTACCCCCACCAGCTCAACACCCCCCCACCAGCTCACCCCCCTCTCCCACCAGCTCCCCCTTCCCCCACCAGCTCACCCCCCTCCCCACCAGCTCACCCCCTACCCCACCAGCTCAACACCCCCACCAGCTCACCCTCCCTCATCCAGCTCACCCCCCTACCCCACCAGCTCTTCCCTCCCTCATCAGCTCCACCCCCCTCCTCCCCACCAGCTCCACCCCTCCCTCATCAGCTCCCCCCTCCCCACCAGCTCACCCCTCTCCCTCATCAGCTCACCCCCTACCCCCCACCAGCTCCCCCCTCCCTCATCCAGCTCACCCCCTCCTCCCCACCAGCTCACCCCCTCCCTCATCAGCTCTGCCCCCCTCCCCACCAGCTCACCCCTACCTGGCTCAACACCCCCCACCAGCTCACCCCTCTCCCTCATCAACTCACCCCTACCACCAGCTCACCCCTCTCCCTCATCAGCTCACCCCCCTACCCCCACCAGCTCACCCCTCCCCTCATCAGCTCACCCCCCTCCCCTCCCCACCAGCTCACCCCTCCCCCACCAGCTCACCCCCCTCCCCCACCCAGCTACCCCCTCCCCACCAACTCACCCCCCCCTCCCCCAAGCTCACCCCTCCCCACCAGCTCCACCCCCCCCCTCCCCCACCAGCTCACCCCCTCCCCCACCAGCACCCCCTCCCCCACCAGCTCACCCCCTCCCCCCACCTGCCGACACACTTTCAGCTGGTGTTATAAACACAGTTTAGCGGACGACCATTTTCTGCACCACTAAACCTTAAGTCTTGAAGGAAAACTTTCTCATGTCGCTTTATGGCGGCAAAAATGTCCTTCTGATGTTTACTTCTTGAACACACAAACATTAAGACTGTTTGTGTGTTTGTATGTTACGTGTTTGTGTGTTGGTGGGTGTTTGTGTGTTGGTGGGTGTTTGTGTGTTGGTGGGTGTTTGTGTGTTGGTGGGTGTTTGTGTGTTGGTGGTGGAGCGTGTGTATGATGGTGTTGTAGTGTGTGTGTGGGTGTGTGTATCAGTGGAGTGTGTAGGCATGTGCGTGTGTTGGTGGTAATATGTGTGTGTGTGTGCGTGTG